TGTTACGGTCTACGGTTGGACCAGCGTAACTCCACCAGCAGTGCTCCACAATCTAGCTGGATTGGGACAGGGCTCGCTTACAGACCAATCGGAGGACGCGGGGGCAGCGCAGCTGCCCGCAATTACGGAGGAATGCGTTGTCTAATGAGGAGACGGGCCGCGTATTAATAGGAGCCCAGGGGAGCTTATAGAAGTTCTCCTTAGCAGGCTCCTATAAGCTCCTACTAGCTCCCCTTAGCACCCCTAGCACATGTATATAGTTCCTACATTAAACAACCTTTAAGGGGTGTGTTTAACATTTAGTTTATCTTCTACATAGACTAAGTAGCATTTAGCTTTTTAAAGAGCTGCAATACTAATTATATATCTTATACTATATATACCTCTAACTTTATCTAACAGGACTGTTTAACCTAGCCTCCCTACTACTGCATTAAGGGCAAACTATAATCTAGTCACTTTACTCCCCTCTAATAGCCTATTAGCCTGTATGTAGGACTGTACACCCTACTAGTTAGCCCCTACCACCTGTTCTACTTTCCCCTAGGAATATTATTAGACCTAAGTGCTTTTTTAAAGCAAAGATTATAACATTAAACACTACCCCTTTAAAAAGTATAGATACCTTTTAACATAACTTAGATTCTAACATAGCCTATACTGCGCTATTAAAATCTACAGAAGTTCCTACCTAAAGTAAAGCTGTTCTAGCAGAATAGATTAATTTAATCTAGGATAATATTAAGGAACTTTAGTAGATTAGTAATAAAGTTAGTAAGCTACTAAAACTTAAATAAAAGATTACTAACCTCTACTAAAAAGCAATAAAATTATAAATACCCTTTAGACTCTTAGGTCTTTAAAAAGCTACTAACTAAGCCTATTAAATACATAAACTATAAGTAGAGCTAGCAAAAATTTAGAACATCTTAACTAAAAAAGTAAGCATTATAGCTAAAAAGACTTTAAGATTAGCCTTTTTAAAGCTTTTTAAAGAATTATTAAAGGACTTTTAACTATTCTTTATAAGATGTTACCTTTATATGTAATATAATAAAGAAGCATTTTAGACTAACATAGAAATAATATCCTAGATAGAACTATACCTAGAAGGCTTTTCTATAATCTAGTTCTAACCCTACACAGATAATTAAATAAACTTTAGAGTAAATAGTAAAGCACTTACTTCTAAAACAAAAACAATATTTAGTAGCATTAAAAACTTTAAAGAAGCCTTAACAGCTATTTATAAAACTTTTAATAAAAAAAATTGCAGCTAATAAGTTAAACACTATAAAATAAGAAACTAGCTTAGTCTAGAACTATGCAGCACGCTTTAGAGAATAACTAGCTATCTATAGATAGATAGACTAAAAAGCTCTTTACTGCATGTTTTATAACAAACTAAGTAAAATAGTAAAAAATAAGTTTATATATAGTAATAAGCTAACTACTTTTAAAAACTTTATTATGTAAGTAACAACTTATAACAACTATTATAAGAAGTGTAAAAAATAAAAAAAATAAAAAGAAACTTTTTAAAGACTAGAGTTTATTTTTAAAAAGAAAAAACCTTTATAATATAATAAAAAACTAATAGACCTTAGTTATATAAAGCATACATAGAGCCTTTCTTTTAAGAAGAGCTAAGTTTTAGAACGCAATAAGCTGCCTTTAACAAAAAAATAATAAAAGTAGCTAAAG